TAATGCCTATATATTTTTGTTAGAACAATGTCTATAAACTCATGTCCCTGAGTAAATAAAAATATTTCTAGATAGTTGACTGTATAGTATGTTTAGCTTGCTGACCTTTTTACTTGTGGCCTTTCAATATTAATTTGAATACACATTAACTTAAAATAAGGTATATATTGTCAACTGTGTGCATTGTGAGATTCTTGGTTATTTGAATGGAGACAAAAACAGAAAAAATAGTGATATCAACATACTAGCTATTGTATTGCACGTGCTATGTAATTAAAGCAGAAATAATTAGTGTGAAATGAAATGGTGAACAAAGGTTGCAAAATGTTCACAGAAATTTGGGGAACATCTTTTATAGTGTTAGTAGTAGGAAATCGGCAGCATATTCCACAGTGTAGTAATGATATGAACAAAGATACAGTGTTTGGAACAAACATTACATGTTCCTTTAGAAGTGTTTTTAGAATTCCAGAAATAGTGTTTCTCAAACATATAGCTGAAGCTGAAATCTTGGAAGGCTTCTAAAGGAAATATTTTGAATTTTCACCTAGACCTCTTTAGAGCAGATCCAAAAAAGTCTTTGGTTATGCATAAAACACTTTGGGAACCACAGTATATGGGTACATTTGTGGATGTGAAATTCATGAAGCCCAATCAGTACTGGCATTTCCTTTCCAAACACAAAGGAAAATTCTAAGGAAAGTATCACTCTCTCATTCTTGGGAAAAGACATTATTCCTAAGTGGTACAAGCAAAAGTATTAGAACCCACTTGACCTTCATTAGGATCCTAAGGGCAAGTTGCTCTGCTGTTCAAGTTTTGCTCAGTTTTAATCTATTCCATTTTGGTATTTCTTTTTTATTTTTTTGGTGAGGATGTGTTTGAACAGGCAGGTGTTCTACCACTTGAGCCACAACTTTAGCAGTAGCCCATTCCATTCCATTTATTTTATTTATTTACTTATTTATTTTTGGAATACTAGGGCTTGAACTCAGGACCTACACATTGAGCCATGCCACCAGCCCATTTTTTGTGATGGGTTTTTTAGAGATAGGGTCACTCGAAATACTTTCCCGGGCTGGATTTGGACCATAATCCTCCTGATCTCTACCTCCTGAGTAGCTAGAATTACAGTAGTCCATTCCATTTTGAAGGCAGTGATCATGTCTTCTTAGATTATGGTTATTTCGGTACCTAGCTTTCAACAAATTACCATTCTTGTGAATAGAAGGTGATGCCATTTATTATCAGTTAAATGCAATAATGCTAATCTCTGAAAATACATGTAGAAATGCTCAACACTATATAGCTAATGATTCAATTCTAATAAAAAACAGCCAATCTGTAAAACTTCTGTTCCCAATCTAAATTTTGTGGCTAGAACAATAGAAGACAAAAGTCTTTGTCCTCAAACATCTTATTGTTTTATGGAAAGAAAAGAAAAGAAATGGAGAATTTTTATAGAGAAAGGAGCTTAAGATGACATGGGAAACATGTAAGAAAGATGCAGTACTCAGATGAAGCACAAGGCATGCTCCATGAAGGCTTCTCTGAGAACAAGGCATGACATCCAGATTAACTTCCTAAGGTTGCTATAACAAATTAATACAAAGTGGGTTAAAATAACAGAAATTTATTTCCCCCATTCAGGAATCTAAGAGGTCAAAATCAAGGTGTTGGCAGTGGTATGTTCCCTCTGAGCCTGCTGGGGAAAATTCTTCCCTTGCTTCTTCTGAGCCTCCCAGTTATTCTGGGCATATTATCTGCCTACATTTTCATATGGCCTTTATCACTTTGTGTATCTCTATATTCCCTGTCTTTTTAATATGATGACACCAGTATTAGATTTCACGCACAACCCCAATTCACTACAATCCCATCTTAATTAATTACAGATAAGATCACATTTGGAGGCTCTCACTGCACACAGATTTTTGGGAGACACTGTAGAACTCACTATAACAAAATGAACTACAAGTAAAGGGTGATCTGACCAAGAAGGTGGTGTTGAATTCTGCATTGCTGTCATTAACCTGGTCATTTTAATGACTGTGTTACTTCATCGTCACTACTGTCTACATGGAAAGCCTAGACAGAATATCACTTTATATTCTTGGGAATTCTATAGTTTTTCAGCTCCTAGATGCTATAGTTGTGTAGTCCTGTGTAAATAAGACATGATCACAGACAAAAATCTCTCCAGTCTTGTAGCATCACTGTATGGGAGAATCATTTTAACTTCTAGACTCATGAATCCTTAACAGAAACTGAGATCCCAGTTGTACTTCCTCACCAGAATAGAATTTACTTGGCTTTGTCTTAACAGACAGAGGCTTAATATCATCTAACGTGTTTGTGGCTGTGTCTCTCCAAAATCAGGAACAATGACACTGATATTTCTCTTTTCACTCTTACAGTAGCATATATCAGAAATGGTGCTGAAGGAGGATTTGATGAAGGCAAATAAAGAACTGTGGTTTGTTTAAAATTGATGAAAGGAAGCTTGCATGCTTCACTTGCTTTTCATGCTTTCATTCTCACTCAGTTTTTCCAATAGAAACAGCTTTTTTTCTTTCCAATTTCTAAAAAAAAAGATCCAGAAAAAATAGTTCATTTAATTTCCTAAGTTCAACAGCACTATAGACTAAGCTTCCCATATACAAATTGCAGTCTTTTGAAAACCCCTAGTGGTTTGCCTGGTATTACTGAGTTTTTCTTTCACTTAACTTGCCAAACAGACCAAGATACTGCCTACATCTTTCTATAGAAACAATATTTTCTTTTCACTACCTTTACTCTGCACACTATGACATTCTTGTGGATTAAATGACTTCCGATCTCTTAGTCATCTATTCCATTGGGAGAAAATGGAATTAGCAGAGGAATAAATATATGGGTTATAGCACCTTTAAATACCTTCTTAACAGGTTGTTTTGACTGCCTTATCAAATGACTTACAAATTTCAATCCAATCCGTGTTATCTTTATTTAAATTGGCCCATTTCCATTCCTGACTTTTCACTAACCATGGGCTAACCAAGCAAGAGGAAAGTAAAGAAGTGAATTGTATTTGCTTATGGAAGACCTACTAGTCTGCAGGCAGTAAGTAATGGCTAGTTTATCTGAATGTAAAGCAGAATTAAATCAACCAACTTGGTAAAACAGAATTTTAAGTGGAACATTCTTCAAATGATATACTAAAATTACTTCCAAAAGTAGTGCCTGTATTTATTTTAAAATGAATATTATTATATTCTCATATTTAGATGCATTTTGGATCCCATACATGTTGAACATTTAAAACAACTATTTTAATGAAGTGTTGTAATATCACATCTTCTGAAAATAAAGGTTTTTACATATTTGACAGTAACTTCTAGTATTACATTTACTGAACATTCTCTCATATTTGAGATATATCTACAGATGTATATGCTATTTTCATTTTTGTTATGATTATATCTTTGTAGCTATTTCACTACTCCATTAATTCTGATTTTCATGATAACATTGCACATACACACACACACTATTTTCGAGATGGGCAAAATGATTTAGAGTAAAGATTACAGAACATCATAAATCACGAGCTAAGGAGCTCCAGAATTACTTTAGTTCGAGGCAAAGGTTCATTTGTGAAGAATCACTATAATCTTTAAGATGATTGGCTCTGGTTTTAAGAGAATGATATGTTGATAAATTAATAATTATTGATAGATTGATTAATAAATCTGACATTGATTAAATAGGTGAGTTTAATTAAATTAGTTTCTTTAGATTCTTCATCTGAAAATAATAATAATTACAGTGTCTGTCTCCTAGGGTGGTTTTGATAATGCAAATAGCAAATATCTGCATACATACCAAACTTAAAAGGATGCCTGGTCACACATGCTCATCACATTTTCGTTCTTATTATTTAGACATGTATATAATATGGTCACTCAGAGTTGTTGAAGTAATTAAATAAGATAATCTGCCTAGAAAACCCTTTACAGATTTTAAAAGAATACATATTTTAATTTATAATTAAGTAACTAGTATCATTTTGCATTCTGACCATAGGAATATGACAAGACTTCTAACCTACCAATCTTTTCATTAAAACTCTTGAAGTTGAATTCACATGAAATCAATTTGCAGAAAAAAAACTCATATGTGTAATGTTTCTTATTAACTCTATCTAAAGTTTATATAGTTGAATATTTTTATATTCACACTATGATATTGTGATAAAGATAGAGCAGATATTGTTACCATTTTAGAAGAGGAAATGAAGGAGTTGAGACATCAGAAAATTATTCAAAGTCATTCAAGCATTTTGTAGCATAGGTGGAAGTCAATGCAAGTTTTCCAAATTCAAGGTCAAGAGATAACATTTTTAGAAAAAATCTTGTCAGTGTTTTATTTAAAGCAACATGGTCAGTTGAAGATTCTTCTTAGCAGCACACTTGCAGTTATAGAGCTGAAAAGGTAAGTGCTGACAGGATCCATTCCTATCAAATCTGATTAGAACTGATTTCTAGGACTACAGAGGTGTTTTTGAAAGCTCTTACAGACATCTCATTTGTCTAATGGATCCTTGGTGACTATTTTTGTCCTAGCATGAGTACTCATTCAATAATATTCCAGTGAAAGTCAATCTGTGTTATGTAGCTGTGTTCTGTAGCCAACATACCATATATGTTGTACTTTTATCATTCTCTGCTTTCTTACCATATATAAAGTGCTTATACCTCCACACCATCCTTTCCTGCCCATGAATGTGCTCCTTATAAGTGGGAACATATACTCTTCTGGGAATGAAGCAGATGTAAATATCTACATACATGAATAACACTGTTCACTACATGATTTGCTCTGTCATCTTATTACATTGGTTAAGAAGTGTTGCTTTCTGGGAGGAGGGGGCAAGATGGCAGATTGTTGACATTCCTATATCCTAGCAGTGAACAACTACCCCCAAAAAATAAAATCAGAGGACCCCAAAAGGCACCCACGGGGTCCCATAACCAGCGAGAAGCAAAACCCTCTCTGAATCTGCAAATAAGAAACGACTAACCATGGGAGGAATGGGAAGATCAATACATAGCTTAAGCTCAACATTCCCATTCCCCTGCCCCTGAAGTCGCCACACAGCTCCATGCAACATTACTGGGTGGTAAGTCCCTCTGCCCAGCACATAGAAACTCGGAGCTCCGTGCTCATCCCAACAAATGAGCTGCTACCTTCACCCTGAAATGTCAGAGAAACCAAGGTCCCTGTGTAAGAAGGTCCAGTGGCTTCCATTGTTCCATGGGGAACAGAAGATGCAAGCTAGCAGGCTCTGTTCTCCCAGAAGAAGCACCACAGAACTGAGCTCTCTGAAGCCTGTGTGAGAGATCAGGCCCTGGAATTCCAGGTATACGCAGGCTTTGTTCTCCTAAGCTAGCAGCAGTGCAATGGGACTGCATTTCCAGAAGCCTATGCAGGAAATTGGGCCCCAAACCCCCCACAACCTGCTGGCTTGGTTCTCCTAAGTGGACAGCAGTCCCACAGAACTGCACTCCCTGAAGCCCATGTGAGAAATCAGTGCCTGGAATGCTCACTGCCTGCAGGCTCTGTTCTTCTAAGCCAGCAGCAGCTACCATGGCTCCTGGAAGAACATGACATAATGCAAGTAGACCCTAGGGCTTCTGCTGCTTGGTGCACATCAGATGATTCAAATCCTCTGGTCTTGCTGCCCCAGGGATACTTCAACTTGCTACACAGTGCCAGAAGCCAGACACCACATACCCAAGAGAACACCAGGCTCCAGACCTTGCTAATCTGCTGGTGCTAGAAGGCTTCCCTTCCCACCACAATAAGAATGCAGCCAGAGGTAACATTTCCAGTATACCCCTCTATGAAGAACTTTGCTGGAGCTCCAGGAGGGGAAAGAAAAAAACCCCTCAAAACACTAACTATAGGGGCACAAGAGATTAAACCATAACCCAAAACAACTCCAGATACATAAATCTCAACACAGAATGAAACAGCAAGACAACCACTCTCTGTCAAAAGCCAATTCCACCACTAAGGATCCAAACATCTATGTAGAGGGAAAGCTATCAAATAATGAATTTCAAAAAACAATAGTAAAAATGATTAATGACCTCAAAGAAGAAACACAAAAGCTAGTATTTGACCTCAAAGAAAATGTGAATAAACAATTAAATGAGCTCAAAGAAAATACAAACAGATGAATGAAATTAAGAAGACTATCTAGGATATGAAAAAGGAAATTAATGAAGATATGGAAACTCTGAAAAATAATCAATCTGAAATAACCAACTCAATATCCTAAATAAATATCACAATCAAGTTTGGTGAACAGAGTGGAGCAAGCTAAAAATAAAGTATCAGAAACTGAAGACAAAATAGAGGAATTAGACCACATAGTAAAAGATCATGAAACAATGTTAAGAAAATATGAATGGAACATGCAAGATATATGGGACATCATGAAAAAACAAACATATGACTCATTGGAAGAAGGAAAGGAGATACAAAGTAAAGGCATTGACAACATATTCAATAGAATAATAGCAGAAAAATTCCCTAACCTCAGGAAAAAGAGAGTCACACAGGTGCAGGAAGCTTACAGAACACCAAACAAAAAGGACCAAAAAAGAAACATCCCAGACTCATCATAATCAAAACACTCAGCACACAGAACAAAGAAAGAATTCTGAAAGCTGCAAAAGAGAAAAGACAAGTCACATATAAAGGCAAACCCTGTAGATGAGATCGGGCACATTCAAGTTGGTATGGCCATAGACAGGCAAACCCATTAGAATAGCAGCACATTTCTCAACTTAAACTTTAAATGCAAGAAGGTGATGCAAAGCATAATCCAGCCCTGAAAGAAAGCAATGCCCAAACCAGAGTAGTTTACCCAGCAAAACTATCCTTCCTAATTGAAGGAGAAACTAAAACCTTCCACAATAAGGAAAAATTAAAAGAATTTGTGACCACAAAGCAAGCACTACAGAGGATGCTTAAAGGACTTTTGCATATAGAAGAAGAAGGTAGAGTGAGACATGTAGACTAAAGAAAGAATTAATCCTTTTGAGCACACAGACTCGTAAATAAGGGATAGGTAAAACTAAACAACAGGGAAACAAAATTGACTGGAAACAACAGGCACATCTCAATACTAATACTGAATGTAAATGGCCTTAATGCCCCAATCAAGAGACATAATATAGCAAATTGGATGAAAAAACAAGACCCACCCATATGTTGCTTACAAGAGACTCAACTAAACTGTAAAAAATAAACACTAGCTTTGAGCCAAAAGGAGGAAAAATTTTCCAGGCAAATGGACCCCACAGACAAGCAGGAGTAGCTATACTCATATCTGAAAAAGTTGATGTCAAACTAAAATCAATAAGAAGAGATAACTTCATTTTAATGAAATGAACAGTTCATCAAGAGGAAATATCAATGTTTAACATATATGCACCAAACACAGGGGCACCCATCTACATGAAAAAAACCCAAAAACTCCAATGGCCCTGAGAGCACAGATAGACAATAACACAGTGATAGTAGGAAACCTGAATACCCCACTGTCATCAATAGATAGGTCATCCAGACAGAAGATAACCAAAAATTTTCAGAGCTACTCCACACATTAGACCAAATATACATGGTTGACAACTACAGAGTATTTCACTCAAAAACTAGGCAATACACATTCTTTTCTGTAGCTCATGGAACTTTCTCCATAATAGATCATATTTTAGGTCACAAAGCAAATCTCAACAAATTCAAGAAAATTGACATAATCCCCTGCATTATATCAGATTGCAATGAAATAAAATTGGATCTCAACAACAAATGAAAACCCAGAAAATACTCGAACACATGGAAACTGAACAATAGTCTGCTATAAAAACCAATGGGTGACAGAAATCATAAGAGAAGAATTCAAAATATTCCTAGAATCCAATGATAATGAAAATACAAAATACCAGAATCTGTGGGAAACAGCAAAAGCCATGCTAAAGGGAAAGTTCATAAGTATAAGAGACTACATTAAAAAAAAGAAAAAGAAACTTCTCAAATAAGCAATCTAATGATGCACTTTAGACTCCTAGAAAAACAAGAACAAAAAAATGTAAAGTCAGCAGATGGAAATAACAAAGATCAGGGCCAAGATTAATGAAATCAAAATCAAACAAGTTATATAAAGAATCAATGTAATGAAATGTTGGTTCTTGGAAAATATTAACAAGATCAACAAATCCTTAGCCAACCTGACAAAACAGAGGAAGGAGAAGACCCAAATTAATAAAATCAGAGTGAAAAAGAGGACATAACTACAAATATCAACAAAATTCAGAAAAGCAATAGAGAGTATTTTGAAAACTTATATTCAAGTAAACTGGAAAATCTAGACAAAATGAATAAATTCCTTGACATATGCAACCAACCAAAATTGAACCAAGAAGATATTAATCACCAAAATAATCCTATCATGTGTGATGAAATTGAATCAGTAATAAAGAGTATCCCTACAAAGAAGACCCCAGGACCAGATGGATTCATGGCCAATTTTAAACAAACCTTTAAAGAAGAACTATCACCAATAGTCCTCAAATTTTTCCAGAAAACAGAATGGAAAGGAACACTACCAAACTCATCTATAAAGCCAGCATTACATTCATTCCAAAACCCAGTAACAATGTAATCAGAAAGGAGAATTATAGACCAATATCTTTAATGAACATAAATGCAGAGTTTCTCAACATAGAACTGGCAACAAAATTCAACAACACATCAAAAAGATCATACATCATGACCAAGTTGGTTTCATTCCAGGGATGCAAGGGTGGTTCAACATATGTAAATCCATAAAGGCAGTACAGTATATAAACAGAAGGAAGGATAAAAACTTCATGATCCTTTCAATATATGCAGAAAAATCCTTTGACAAAATCCAACACCTTTTCATGATAAAAGCTCTGACGAAACTAAGAATAGAAGGAACATTCCTCAACATAATAAAGGCTATATATGACAACCTTAGAGACAACATCATGCTAAAAGGAGAACAACTGAAACTGTTCCCCTTAAAGTCAGGAATGAGACAAGACTGTCTGCTTTCTCCACTCCTATTCAATATAGTTTTGGAATTCCTAGCCAGAGCAATAAGACAAGAGCAAGAAATAAAAGGAATTCAAATAGGGAAGGAATATGTCTAACTATCCCTATTTGCAGATAACATGATCCTATACCTAAGAGATCCCTAAAACTCTACCAAAAAACTACTAGAAATCATAAATTCTTTTGGCAAAGTAGCAGGATACAAAACTAACATACAGAATTCAATAACTTTTCTATATACCAACAATGCAGACTGAGAAAGAAATCAGGGAAACAATCCCATTTACAGTAGCTGCAAAAACAGTAAAGTACCTTGGAATAAATGTAACAAAAGAAATCAAAGACCTCTTTAGTGAAAACTATAAACCACTAAAGAAAGAAATTGAAGAAGACTTCAGAAGATGGAAAGATCTTCCATCCTCTTGGATTGTTAGAATCAACATTGTGAAAATGGTCATACTACCAAAAGCAATCTACATGTTCAATGCAATCCTTGTCAAAATTCCAATGACATTCTGCACAGAAATAGAAAAAGCAATTGTGAGGAGTATATATGGAAACACAAAAGACCTTGAATTGCCAAAGCAATTCTGAGCAAAATGTCCAAATGCTGGAGGCATCACAATACCTGACCTCAAATTATACTACAGAGCCATAACAATAAAAACAGCATGGTAGTGACACAAAAGCAGACAAGAAAACCAATGGTTCAGACTAGAATATAAGGCCATGCATCTATAGCCAGCTGATCTTCAATAAAGGAGCCCAAAACACATGACAGAGAAAAGACAGCCTCCTCAACAAATGCTGCTGGGAAAACTGGATATCCACATGCAGATGACTGAAACTAGATCCCCATCTTTCACCCTGTACCAAAATCAATTTGAAGTTGATGAAAGACCTGAAACTTTGAAACTCCAAAAAGCAGTAGGAAATACACTAAGATAGATAGATATAGGGAATGACTTCCTAAACAGAATGCAAAAGGCTTAGCAACTAAGAGAAATAATGAACAAATGG